ATGACCGTGAACGGGAGAGGTGAAAAACCAATTGCTGCATCTGCAGTTCAAGGTTTCCCATTCGTGAAATAATATCATCACAGCGAGGGGCGGTCGGGGTTGGGTTGGAGCATGCGGCAATGTGATGCAAAGCTGAGTTTGCTTCGAACATTTTATCCGCGGCCAGTGCCATTTCATCCAACGAACTGTTGGAGAGCACGGATAAAACGTCTCGGATGCGTGGAGGGAGACGCTTCAACCAAAGCTGGCGNAATTGACGTTCATCCGACACAGCTGTGCGGGTGATTAACGCCTCCTTCAACTGAGTGTATGGGTCAGTCTCAGGCATGGTGATAATGAATTCGAACACCTGTTCTGCAATATCGGTGGGCAGGGAAGTGACTATGTGGGAATACATAATTGTCTGGGAGCGGATGCGATGGGTACGGAAATGGGCTTCGGCTTGGGTGAACCATAACCGGGGGTTGTTAACACCAAATGCCGGCAATTTAATGTAAGAAAACACTGGAAGGTCCTCAATGTCTAGTTTTGATTGCTCCATATGTAAAATGTACAGTAAACGAGTAAAATAAAATGAAGTGAAACTCCTGAAGAATCTGGTTTACCGTAGAAAAATATGAAGCTACAGATATTCTTAACAAGTGTTCACCAAACATATAGTGGACAATATACTACATATACAAATAATAATAGAATAAACGGTACAAGAAACGGACTCACAGAAAGATTGTCCGGCTGGTTGACTGATCCTGTTTTTCAGATGGTTGCTCCAGTTAATGAGGTGCAGTGGAGCTGAAATGAATGACTGTGAGAGTTACCGGACCGCTTGACGATAACTGATAATGATTGCGTAATGCCTCAGCAACACTCGGAGAACACGTGCGGAGTTACGAAAAGAATTTGTATTGTCCTGGTAGGTGTTGTGCATATTAAAACAAGCTGTACAATCATGTCAGATAAAATTGGATAGAAAGGTGAGACACTACAGTACCCATCTCTAGAGTGAAAGTGCAAACTGAATACCCGATAAACGTGAGAGTAAAAGCTAACTGCTAAAGTAAA